GAGAGAGAGAGAGAGAGAGAGAGAGAGAGAGAGAGAGAGTTTTAATCTAGGTGAGCCATTTTCATTTTTGGTTGATTTGGAAATGAAATTTAAAGCAAATTCTAAAGATCTACTTTGTTTTTAAATAAAGTGGTGTACACCACAATTTTAAGAAAGTAAAACAAAATTTAATGGTGTAACTAGATTTAACAAAAAATCAATTTAAAAAACAAATATGGTGGCGCCCTTTATGGAATGGCCTTCTCCAAATGCGCTTGATTTAAGAACCCTACAGTAAAAATTTGAGTTCATTCGGTTAAGAAGCAAAAACTGGAGGTTTGTGCACACATGGAGTTTTCGAGGTGTTAACACGCTTATTGTCTAAAAAAGTTTCAATGTAGCTACAGTTATGATTGAGAAAGGGAAAAAAATTGATCAATGGATCGTTTTCATTATCCCAAACTGAAAATTTTATTTCTTTTTTTAATACTGTTCCTGGGATTTTTAACTCTTCTAGTCCACACGAAAGTTTTCGTCCACATTTTTCGAACAGAGCTTTAGAGCAATAATTAAGCGTTTTATAGTCGCAATGATTGCAAATTGTCTGCCCAAAGTGACATCGCAGAATTTTCAATCCTGGGAAACAATGAGTCAGATTAAACTGTTCCACAACGTCGGTATGATTGGGCGTGTTGAAGCACAGTGAAAAAACACGCACCAAGGGAAGGACGGGCATAGAGGAGCCAGGCCAGACTAGAGTGCCATCACCAATTTCTTTATAATTATTACAGGCGATGGTTAATTCTCGTAGGTGGGCCAGTAACGAAAGAGTAGTGAGGATTGAGGGGTAGTCGGTGGTTTTTTCACTTGAAAAAATCTCTAGCTCGACTTTTTGAAGATGACGCATGTGTGTCAGAGCTCTAAAAAAATTTGTTTTTGCAAATTGCGAACTGTTTTTTCTCTCCCAATCAATATGCGCATCGAAGTAGGTAAAGTATAACAACAATTCTTTCTCTAGTTCAACTTTTTTTAGGTTATTTTGAGTTACTCGGAGTCCAAAACGAGCCCCCACTCCCGGTTTCAAATGGGTTCCGTACGGAGAGTTGAGGATGAGCTGGCAAATATGTGAATTTATTTCGAGTAACTTGTTTTCTTGATTGAAAAAATTAAAAGTAGTCAGTTGTTGAAGAATAGGCAAAGGAGGAATGCTATATTGCTCTAAAACGTTTAAGGGTTTTTTTGATAAATTGTTTTCTATTATCAACGTCAGATGTTGCAAAGTTAAATGTTGAAATTGGGTGAGAGGATACCAGAAGTAGTTTGGCGTTTCTTCGTCGTAATTGCTGATAAAATATAAATTCAGCTTCAGTGTAATTAAATTTGGCAAACTCGTGCCGGACAGTTGAGTGATAAATGGAGCAAAGTTTTTCGGAAAAAAAGTAATGATTACCTCTAGATAGCAAAGATTGGAAAAAGCGTTATAAAACTTCTGTTCTACGTTCAGTCTTGTTGGCCCTTTTTTTCTGAGTGGTGGCAAAATAAAGGAAATTAATTTTGAAGAGTACTTCTTTTCAACTTTATCATTAGCATTAGAATCTATGTTGCTCACAAAAATCGCTTTTAAAACTAGTTTTGAAGGGATACTAGTGATCGACACAGCCCTAGTTGTTTTACGCGTTTTTTCAAAAAAATTGTAAAGTCTACGACAGGTGAATCCAAGGTAGAATGCATCACGAAGTGGCATAAAAGTAAATATGTGCAGCAGACAGTCAGCATCAAAGCTGGCCAAGCTGAACTTAGTCAAATTATTATCTTCTGTGGAATTGCCACCTTTTTCATGTTTGTTTGAAATCATTAAAAGTTTAGTTTTTAATAATAAAAAATGAATATTTACAACATATTTATAAAGATTTTCTCTAAATGCAAGAACCCAACTGCCAGAAAATTTGATTTTTCAATTGGCAAGATATACGGTTGCTATACAGTGTTGCTTTAAATCTAGTTTACCTTTACTTTCGGACAGTACGTAGTAAAGGCATTGAGGAATGCAGTTGCAATTTTAACCAGCAAAATACTTTTATTTCAGTTATAACTATAGTATTGAAGGAATGTCAAGGTCTTGTGTCTCTAAAGAGTGACAACAAATTCGCCCCAAAATTTTCTTATACTCAAAGATTATTGAGTTGCACATCGTTAGAAAGCTAAAATTGCCCTGATTATTAATATGTAAAAATATGTGTGGAGCCCAAAACGGTTCCAGAGAAAATCGGGTCCAAAGTTGACCAAAATATGCAGTTTGTCAACAGCGCAACGGCTTAACTCCGCTAGATGGCATAAGGAGCAATGGGCAAAGCACAGCCAAAGGTACAGTTAGGACCCGGTTTTCTCGGGAACCGTTTCGGGCTCCACTCAGATTTTTACATATTAGTAATCTGCGCATTTTTAGCTTTCCAACCATGTGCAACTCAATAATTTTTGAGTATAAGAAAATTTTGGGGCGATTGTGTATGGGAAATTGTCGTCACTCTTTGTTTGTTTATGCTTATTGAGATAGTTCCAAACAGTTGTAAAGTGTAGTATCTAAAAACATCGTCTTTTATAAGTTTGAAAAAGTAAGTGATTATAAATTCAGTTTAGTTTTTTGCACAACAATGAATGTGTTAGTTTTTGCAGATTTTACAAAAAGCAATTTTAATTGAAATGTTCGCTCAACTAGTGATCATTAAACAGATCTTCCAGCGACTTAAAGTTGTATCGACCTAAGAACGTAAAGAACAACTCCTTCTTGAGCACTGTCTTGGGTGGCTGTAACGCCAGCAGTCCTCGCGTCAGTTCTCTTCCACAACTTTGAAAGAGCGGCAAATTGATGCTTTTCGGCGCACTTTGATAGTTACAGTAAATGCAGGTCTCATGCCAGAAGTGGCACCGTATCCGGCGCAGTCCCGGGAAGCAGTGAGTCAGCTGAAAGGTCTCTGCAACGTCGGCGTGGCAGGGAGTGCTGTACTTTAGTGAGAGGACGCGAACTGAGGGAAGGGTGGGCAGAGTGGAGGGAATCCAAATGTGCGGTCCATTGCCGTAGTAGGCGTTTTTAATGCACCTAATGCTCAGCTCCCGTAGGTGTGCCAGTGAGGAGAGGGCAGTGAGAAAGGACGGGTAGTCGGTGGGCTCCTCTCCGGCCTCCCCAATCCTCAGCTCGACCTTCTGCAGGTGGGTCATGAGGGGCAGAGCGCGGTAGAGACTGACTAGTGAGGCTCGATAGGGAATGTGCGGTAGAAAAGGGTCCCAGCCGATTTTCACGTCGAGGAAGGTGAAGTAGGAGAAGAGCAGTTTGGGTTCCGGTGGCGCCACCTCTCTGACGTCCCAGTACTCTCTGAAAAGCTTCAGTCCGAAGCGAGCTCCCGTTCCCGGCTCCAGGCGGGCACCGGGAGCAGATGGATTGAGCTTGGAGCTGAGCTGAGCTAGCAGTTGACTGAACACGGCCAGCTCTTCGTGGTAGAAGTTGAAGGTGATCAGCTGCTGGAGAATGGACAGGCGAGGAATGCTGTACTGCTGCTGCTGCTGCTGCCCATTTTCCCCAGCTCGCCTTTGTAGAAGTTTGACCAGCACTATCAGTGTCAGGTGTCGCAGTGCAGGATGCTCAAGTTGGGCAAGGGGTCGCCAGAAAAAGGCGGCAGTTTGTTCTTTGTGATGGTCGTTGAAGCTGACGCATAATTTCAGAGTGCTCAGGTGGGGCAGTGATGATGGAGTCAGTTGGGCTAGCAACAAGGCAAAGTCTGGTGGCCTGAAAGTGGAGGACACCTCGAGGTAGCGCAGATGGGGAAAGGTGTCCACGAACTTTTGCGTGATGGTCAGTGGCACTAGTCCGTAGTTCATCCACTGATCAGCCCCACCATTTTCGTTATCACTGTGCCTCGGCAGATTAAAGGGCATCACTTTTAGGGAGGAGAACTCCTCTTCAACGGCATCACTGGCATCAGGGTTGATGTTGCGTATGTTGAAAACTCCTTTTGGGACTACTTTTGCGTCGAAACTGGTCAGTGCCAGCGCTTTGGTGGTCCTCCGCGACTCCTCGAAGAAGCCCAACAGCCGGCGACAGGTGAGGCCAAGGTGGAGGGCGTCAGCGGGTGACAGGCGGCGGAAGATGTGCTCCAGACAGTCGCCATCGTAGCTGGCCAGGTTGAACTTTGTCGAATCATCGGCTTTTCCAGGTGTGCCACCTTTTTTCCGCCTTGAAAACATGGCGGAAAGTGTTTAGTTTTCAGCAGCAAATGATGATGATGGAAGACGCATTTGTTGACTGTTGTTGTTGTTGTGATTGCGAGGAAAGCTGCTGAGCTGCACCTCAACACACTGGCCTGGAGGATACAGTTGCTATACAGTGCAGTACTGAATCTTGATATTGCGTCATCGGCTATTTCCACTCTGGAACTTAAGAATCCCCCGGAACTTTAGTCGATTTGNACCTTTTTTCCGCCTTGAAAACATGGCGGAAAGTGTTTAGTTTTCAGCAGCAAATGATGATGATGGAAGACGCATTTGTTGACTGTTGTTGTTGTTGTGATTGCGAGGAAAGCTGCTGAGCTGCACCTCAACACACTGGCCTGGAGGATACAGTTGCTATACAGTGCAGTACTGAATCTTGATATTGCGTCATCGGCTATTTCCACTCTGGAACTTAAGAATCCCCCGGAACTTTAGTCGATTTGTGTGTTAATTTTTGAGAGATTTATGCAAACAGAAAAACGCCTTGTAACAAATCTCGGTAAAAAATGCTAGAAATGAAGAAGTGAAACAAGTGAAGATGTGGTCGCCCCAACAACCCCTCTTCCGCACTTTACTTGTCCCCGTCGGTGAGCGGCGGCGGAATGCGCTTCTTCAGCGCCGTGCGGTACATGCGAATGACGTTGCTCTGCGAGAGCTCTCCGCCGCCCTCCACCTGCGAGAAGGAGTACCCGTGGGCGGCGTCAATCTGCGCGTCAGTGACCGGGGAGAGCACCGTCTGCTCGCCGTCGCCCGGCACCAGCGCCATGCGGGTGGTGGTGGTCACCGTGGCCGGAGAAGGCAGCTGGCCACCGCTTTCAGCATGCGAGCTGCTGATCAGGTTGAGCACCAGCGCCCGCGCCCGCTCGCGCATCGTCTCGGGGTTGGTGAGCGCCAGCTTGGAGGCCGACTCGCGCGCCAGCTCCAGCTCGATGATCTTGTCGGCGAGCGACTTGAAGCAGGTGCGCATTATCAGCTTCACGACGATGTCCACCAGGACGGCGACGAAGGGGATGACGAGGAGGGCCAGCCAGAAGAGCCAGGTGGAGAAGATGGCCGCGTCGAGGTCGGCCATGTCGGCGCCGAAGGGCAGGGCGGGCCAGACGCGGGCGTAGATGAGGAGGAAGAGGAACCAGGCGCCGATGGAGCCCCACACGGCGAAGTGGGTGATGACGTTCCAGCAGGCGGTCTCTAGGGCGGCCTTCATGCACACCGTGATCTAGGGAAAAATGGTTTGCTTAGAAAAATTCAAGATTCTAAAGAACTTTTCGCCTTACCACAACATAGGTGAAGAGAATGTTGGCAAAGCAGAAGCCGCCTCCATCGCTCTTCCCATTCTCCCACAGCGTCTCATGGCGGAAGGTAAAGTAGGTGAGCCAGAAGAGGACCAGCGAGTGCCAAATCGCGGAGCCGATCCAGAACCAGAAGAGGCGGACGTTGAAGACCGCTCCCCACTGCTCGCTGTACAGCTCCGGGTTGTCGAGGAGCATTTCGGCGCTGCAGGCGCGGTCAAAGAGGCCCAACATCATCGGCGGCGCCGCCGTGAAGAGCAGGTTGTAGAGGGAGAGTGACCAGCGCTCGAAGCCCGCCTGACCGCTGAAGGCCGTCACCGTGGCGAACCACAGCTCAATGACGTAGAGGACGATGTTCTTGTAGAAGGAGTAGAGGATCAGCTTGCAGACGCGGCTCAGGTTCCAGCTGCCGTGGACGAGCAACAGGCGAGCCAGAAAGCGGAACTGGCCGATTGCGTAGTCGGCGGAGTAGACCGCCTGCAAGCCTTCACGGCCGCTGATGCCCACGCCGACGTTCGCCGCGCGGATCATGGCCACGTCGTTGGCGCCGTCGCCGATGCCGAGCGTGATCTGCCCGGTGGCCTGTTTGACTGCGTTTGTGACCTCCGCCTTCTGCGAGGGCGTCACGCGGCAGCAGATGACGGAGCGGCACTTCAGGGAGAGGGCCATGAAGGCGGGCTGCACCTCGGGCAGCAGGGCAAAGTTGAGCGATTTGGCTGAAGGAGAACAAAGTTATGATTTTTAGAGTCCTAAAGTTTTGTAAGAGCTTACTATCAATGACCAGGGTAAAATCGGCGGGGTGGGCCCTTAGCTTCTCCTCAGCCACCTGAATCGACTCCAACGTCCGCTCGGTGCTGTCCTCATTGATGATGTGGTAGCACTCCACCGCCTGGACGCTCTTCAGCAGCCGACAGCTGTAGCCGATGTTGATGGCCGTCTCCTGCTTGTCCCCGGTGAGCATCCAAATGCTGATGCCCGCTCGCATCAGCGTCTCAATCGTCTCCGGCACGCCCACCTGCAGCTTGTCCTCGATGGCAGTCGCCCCCAGCAGCGTCAGATTGGTCTCGATCTCCGAGGAGACCTCGTTGATGATCTCGTCGCGGCTTTTTCCTCCATTCTTTCCGCTTTCCTCGCTCTCGCTGGTTTTGGGCAGTGAGAGGGCGTCGTTGTACTTCTTCTCCCAGGCGGCGTAGCGCTCCTCGGTGAGGTCCGCCGAGGCGACGCACAGCGTTCGAAGGCCCTCGGTGGCGAAGACGGTCAAGGCGGCCTCAGTGGCGGCAAACTCCTGCACCGAGGCCGGGCTGAGGCGCTTGGCGATGATGGAGTCGGCTCCCTTGATGTACAGCTTTATGCGACCGGCCGGCGTTCGGACAATCGCCGACATGCGCTTCCGGTCCGAATTGAACTCCAGAATGGTCAGAACCTCGTAGCGCTCCGTCACCCCCATCGCCTGGATGATCACCTCAGTGGGCGTTCGCTGGACGAACTCGAAGCCGATCTTCTGCGCCCCGGACACCAGCGCCGCCTCATCCGGACTGGAGGCGGAGTAGGTGAAGCGTGGTCCGGTCTCCTTGCCCGTCGGCTCCGGAATGACGGTGTGGCAGACGGCGAGGAGGACGAGGAACTCGCGGATCTTCTCCCAGTCGGTGCCCGCCTCCTTCGCGGCAATCTTCTCCAGCAGCAGGCCAAACTTGCTGTCGTCGTAGATTCGCCCGCCGATGGAGCACTTCTTAAAGTCCATGATGTTCCGTGTCAGCGTCCCGGTCTTGTCCGAGAGGATGTACCGCACCTGGCCGAGCTCCTCATTCAGGTTGCTGGTCCTCGCCTGAGCCGGCGTGTCCGTCTCCTCGTCGTACAGCTCCAGGTCGCTGTTGATAAAGTGTGCCTGAATGACGCGGACCATCTCCAGCGTGACCTGCAGCGAGATGGGTATCAGGTTGTTGTAGAGGATGATGAAGGTGCAGAGGTAGAGGAGGAAGCCTTTCTCCCCCAGGCCCACAAGGTACCAGTGACGGGCGGCGTTGGCCGAAGTCCAGCGGACGGCGAAGATCGCCGAGACGATGCAGATCAGGAGGAGGATGGCCAGCAGGGCGAGGATGTGCCCGTTGGTCTCCTTCTCGATGGCCGAACGCTTCAGAGGAGCGGATTCGGTGCTGTAGTTCATCATCAGCTTCGTCTCGTGGCCTGTGTAGACGACGGCGCCGACGGCCCACTCGGTGTTGCGCAGTTTCGCGCCTCGCAGAAGGACGTTGTCCGGGCCGATCGGGACCTCCTCGCCGCTCTCCAGCTTCAGTTTGCCCTTGAACTCGTACAGCTTTTTGTTCGGCTGGTCGCACTCGATCAGGGCGGTGGTCAGCGGCGAGGCAAAGATCGCCTTGGGCGCCACCATCTTCACTCCCGTCTTCTTGTGCACCTTTGAGCAGTAGGCGTCGGTGATTGCAAGGGAGGAGCGTGCCTTGAGGTTCGTCTCGCCGTCGAGGTTCGCCGTTTCGATGTAGCAGATTCCTGTTGGGTGAAAAAGAAAAAGGAGTTTAAGCTGGTTTGTTTGTTTACACGCCTAACTGTTGGTGTGCTGAGTGGAAATAGACTGTTTTTTGTAGAGTTTGTTTTTTCTGATAAACTCCCATCTTTACTAGCTTCACTTACCACTGGGCTCATTTGAGGAGAGCAGAACACAGTCGGCGGGAAAGTAGCNGAGGTTCGTCTCGCCGTCGAGGTTCGCCGTTTCGATGTAGCAGATTCCTGGTGGATGAAAAAGAAAAAGGAGTTTGAGCTGGTATGTTTGTTTACACGCCTAACTGTTGGCGTCTTTACCAGCACTTACCACTGGGCTCATTTGAGGAGAGCAGAACACAGTCGGCGGGAAAGTAGCCATTCTGGCGGAGCAGCAGCAGATCACCGACGGCAATGTCCTTCCAGTGACGCTTTACCACCCGACTTGCACCACCACCACCGCTGCTGGCGGTTGCATTTCGACTTAAGATCTCTGCCTCGGTCCGATTGACCGCCCAGTCCTCCTTGTGGCGTTTGAAGTCCTCGTAGATCTCCTTCACCGCCGAGCAGAGGAGGATGAAGGCGAGCGGGAAGATGGTGGTGTATCTAAGTTTTGAATGAAAAGATGACGTGTTATTGTTTGAAAGTTTCAAACTTTTTTCCATTTTTACCTTCCCGTAGGCGAGACGTTGGGTATCTGCTGCATAAGCGCCGTGGCGAGAAAGAAGATGTTGGAGTAGCGCTGGAACTGCTCAAAGAGGAAGATGGGCAGAAAGGTGACCGGGTGGTACTTGGCCGTGGAGATGCCATTGTGGAGGTACTTGCTGCCGCCGTGCGAGCCGGCCACCAGCACTCGGCGAGGCTTTCCGCCCTTGCTTCGACGGCCAGTCTTGGCCATCTTTTGATCCACGGTGGCCGCTGGCTTCATTGTCTGCTTCTGAGTTTTGCCTTTTCGAGAGCGTCGATTGCCTCCTTTTGGAGTGTGCTTCTTTGCAGAACGCGGTTTCGCTGAAGTGTTCGGCTTTTTGCTTCTTTTGTTGCTTATCTTGTTGCTCTTTCGACCCGACTTTGGCTTTTGTGGTTTTTTCTTCTTACTCTTCTTGTTTGACTTTTTCTCTGTCTTTTTGGACGATTTAGGTGTTGACTTTTTGCTGCTCATGCTTTGAGGAGAAAAAGCGGTGTGAGTGTGTGTTTGAGATGACTCTAGAAACTAGTGAAGTGAACTACTGAAACGTGTGCTAACTCTGCTGACTCGTTTTAAGTTGTAGGTGACTTGGCACTTTTTTCAGTTTAGTTGGAAGTAAAAAGTTCCATATTTTCCGGTTTGGAATACGTCACCTCATTTTTGCTACTTTGCGACTGAACAATCAATCTCGTCACCTTTCAAAAAGTGACTCCTTTTCCAAATGTACAGCTCACAATTTGTTTAAAGGCTGGTCAGCACTCCCGATCACCCCAAACCCTTCTTCTCGTCATCACCTTCCAAGCTTCTGTTCATCCTCAATCTCGCAACCCACTCTTTTTCACCCCGCCAGATCATGGCCAGATCTCGCAATCCTGTTCGCAAGTCAAGTGGCAGCCCTTCGAGCTCTCTTGTAGGCAAGGGTAGCCGTCGCTCCAAAGCTCGTGGTCGCTCCAAAGGCGGTCGCTCCAAGGTGGCTCGAAGTGGCCGTGGCCGAAGCGCCGCCAAGAGTGCCGCAGTTCGCAGTCGGCGCCGCTCGAAGGCAGTTCGCAGCCGTGGTGGCCGAGGTCGCCGAGGTCGTGGTCGTCGTGGTGGAAAACGAGGCTTTCTCGCCGGCTCTGCCTCCTTCTCCGGCAAACGGGCCGCTTCTAGCAGCAGCAGTGGCAGTGGCGGAAGTCGTAGCCGTGGACGTCGCCGCCGAAGTGGCAGTAAACGCCGATCGAAGGCTAGCAAGGGAAGCAAACGTCGCAGTGGCAGCCGTCGTCGTCGTCGCCGAAGCGGAAGTGGAAGCGGCAGTCGCCGTCGCCGAAGTCGCAGTGGCAGCAAACGCCGCTCCAAGACCACCTCTGCCGCCAAAGGAGGAAGTCGTCGCCGTCGCCGCCGAAGTGGCAGTCGCAGTCGCAGCCGCTCAAAGCGTCGTTCCGCCTCTGGCGGCAAGCTGGCCTCCATTCCCCTCTCCCGCCTCTGTCCGCGCTGTCGTGCTGCTCGAGGTCGAGGTGGAGGAGGACGTGGGCGTGGTCGTCGAGGCCGTCGTGGACGTTCTCGTGGAGGACGCTCAGGAGGACGCAGTGGCAGTCGTCGTCGCAGTGGCAGCGCAAGTCGCAGCCGCCGCAGCGGCGGAGGTTCCCGCTTCTGCGCCCGCTGCCGCCGCTCCCGTGGCTCCTCTCGCGGCTCCCGAGGCTCCCGTGCCCGCTACTGTGCCCGTTGTCGCTCTGCAGGCAAGTCTCGAGGCAAAGGCAGTGCTCGTCGTGGTGGCAAGTCCCGTCGTGGAGGTCGTGGAAAGAGAGGTCGTGGCGGTCTGTTCGGCTACGACGACGACCAGGACGTCAAGATCAGCTTCGGCTCGCTGCTGAAGTTTGTCGACAACGTGGAGACGCTGAACAAGGACCCGAAGTTTGCCGCCACCATCAAGACCAGTGCCACCACCAAGGTGAAGGAGGCACACATGGACACTCGAGCCGGGGAGGGGCCCGAGGGCGCCCGCCTGCCCAGTGTCGTCCGTCCGAAGAGCGGCAAAGCAACTGCTCGTCCGGCGAGTCTTCGCCCCGGCGGAGGCGGCAAAAGTGCTCGAATGACCAAATCGGCTCGTCACGCCAAAAGCCCCGGTCAGAAGAGTGTTCGCGCTGGAGGGAAGAGTGCTCGAATGCAGAAAAGTGCTCGTATGGCAAAGAGTGCCCGTCCTCCTGCTTCCGATTCGGCGAAGAAGTCTCCCGAAAAGAGCGCTTCCGCTAAAGCAAAGCCCGTCAGCGTGAAGGCGCACACCCATCCGCCCAAGGCGGCGCCCTCCTCGCTCAAGAAGAGTCCGGAGAAGAAGGCGGCGGAGAAGAGCACCAAAGCGGCGCCGGATGTGTCCGTTGCTCCGGTTCCCTCGGGCGTCAAGAGTATGCGCGTGCGCAGCATGCGCGTCAAGAGCAAGGCCGAGGCGAAGGCAAAGGAGCGCATCAAGAGTATGCCCAAGTTTGAGAGCGGAAAGCGATCCGGAGGCGGAAACAAGAGTCCCTCCTCAAAGTCGGGAAGCAAGATTCGCGTCGCCAGGCAAACTCTGCCCACGGTGCCCAAGGCTAGCGGAGGTGGTGGTGGACTTCCTGTTCCTCCTCCCGGTGGACTACCTCCGCCTCCTTCTCCGGGAAAGGCTCCAATGACCTTGCCGCCTTCCGGTGGCGGTCATCCCCTTCCTCCCTCTTCCGCTGGAGGGGCTAAGGCCCCGCCGCCAGGACTGCCCGGTCTCCCTCCGCCAAAGCTGCCCGGCCTCCTGCCTGGCAAGGCCCTGCCCGGTCAGTCTATGAAGGACTTTCACAAGGCGCCCAATCTGCCTGGAGCCAGTCCAGGACCAGGCGCTCCCGCCCTGCCTGGAAAAGGCTCAGAAAAGTCTGGCGGAGGAGGAGGAGGTGGTGGCCCAGCTCTGCCCTCCAAACCTGCTGATGGTCACAAGGAGCCGGATAAGCCGCCCGGACCGGCGCTGCCCTCGCAGCCACCAAAGCCAAAGGAGGGCGGAAAAGAGGCCCACGACGGACCGGCCCTGCCAACGCCCGGATCCGGTGGTGGAAAGGAGAAAGGAGGATCTTCTGGTCACGCTCCTGGCCTTCCAGCTGCTCCAGGCGCCTCCAAGTCTCCAGGCGCTGGTGATAAATCCAAGTCGGCAAAGAAGGGCTCACCGGCTCCAGCTCCGGCGGCAGGCAAAGAAGCCTCCGCCACGAAGAGCACCAAAAAGGAGGACGCTTCGAAGAAGGAGGAAAAGGGAGGAGGGGCGGTCAGCAAGTCTGAATCGAAGGCCAAGCCGTCCGCTGGCCCTTAGCTCAGCTTTCTCTCTGTTCCCTTTTCCCTTCTGAGCGACCTCTTCTTCACCTTCTTTTTTTCATTTCATTTGCAGCAGCAGCATCAGCCACGGCCAGGCACTCTCAATTCAATATTAGCGCCCAAGTCCTGGCCCCAGCTCTCTCTCTCCACTATATCTCACCCTATTATTAAAATTTGAAATCCGGTAAATTAGGGTAAATTCGGGGCCGGGGCTTGGGTTGCTGTTTCTGCCGCTCTCTTTTCAAAGCTGACTCTGTATTTTACAGTCTTTAGATTTTCTTGTCTTATTATTAAAAATTGGAAATAAGCTGCTGTTGTTGTTTTCTGATGTTTTGAGTGTTTTTATTGTAATTTTGATTGAGAGGAGAGAAGTGCAAGTAGTGCTATAGCAGTTGCCTTGGAATACTATCAAATATTTGTTGTTGGTGTTGGTGTTGATTACAGACAGGCACAAGTGTGTGAGAGAGAGGTATTTGGAGGGGGAATAGCCTGAAGTGTGTGTGTGTTGTTCAATCACTGGAGGACCGGAGAGCAAATANTGTTTTCTGATGTTTTGAGTGTTTTTATTGTAATTTTGGTTGAGAGGAGAAAAGTGCAAGTAATGCTATAGCAGTTGCCTTGGAATACTATCAAATATTTGTTG